ACTACAACTGTGTAAACAGGCCCCATTTCCGTAATTTTAAACCTTAAAATTTTTCTTTTTTGATTGAGTTTTATAAATTGGATTCTTTTGAAATTGCATTTTCCAGATCACCTTCTCTTTACTTCTGAGGTGGGCTTTCAGAGCAGAGATGCATTAATATTGTTCTGCTTTGGACGTTAGCAAAACATCCTTATTGGTTAGGAGGGAAATTTTATTTAAAAGATTTTTTTTTTAAATGGAATCTAAAAACTTAAATAAATCGAACTTATGAACATTTCTAAACATCAAACAGGTAAAACAAGTTTTGCAAAAGGAGTGTGGGAAAAAAAATCGGTATATTATTTTGAAAAAGTAAAATTTGAATGAAAAAAAATTACATTTGAAGAAAAAAGTGAAAATTACATTTCAAAAAGAAATTACGTAAAAAGGCAAAATGTAAGGAAACATCAATGCTCCTCTCAAAACAGTTTTTGATTAAAACGTTTATTTTTTCATTGAAGTTTCATTGAATTGTGGGTTTTTTTCCATTTACAAAAAATGTCCTTTAGTGTTACAATAATGGAATTAAATACACCGCATACACGGGTGGTTCTTGAGAAGGGCCAACTGGCGCCGGTGCCGCAGTGCAGGTGGTCATGGCCCTTATTATGGCCCCAGCTTCTAAACATAATATGAGCTGGAACAAACACAGTAAGGGATGTTACTCAGATTTACTTCATTTCTTTCCTTTCTGTTTTAATAATGATATAAAATGAAGGTGAAAGCTAAAGTCGCATTGAGATAGCAGCTTTTATCTGCTAAGTTTTCATTCTAAACCAACTTATGGAAATGACTCTTATTACAGCAGAAATGATCAGTTTTACTTAGTCTTTTCTCTTCATTGAATAAAATAATGAAGTCAAAAATAACCTCCATTTTAATGGCTGGATCCCAACCGCCCCCTAAACATTAACCCTTTGTTTGTGCATTCCCTCGGAAGGTCCTCCATATTAAGGACCACCCCAAAGCCCATAGTGGGCAGGGCGGGTGGACCGCTCAGCCCTTAAATAGTGAGTCTGGAATTTGTCAGTGGGTGTAATGGCGTACTAATGGCAGAGGAAACATGTGTTCAAATGTAAAGGGTTGGTTATCCACCAGCAGCAGTGTGTTGCAGTGAGCTTGATGCAGACATTTTTGATTTATGCCCAATAATGAAGTGTGGTCTGCGCTACGTTATTCCACGCCACAATTTCAGAGGGCCAATCAGGAACTAGCTGTGGGTCTAGATACGGCCGTGGTGGTGAGGAAGCGGGGGCAAGTTTGTGCGACAACGGAGGGACATGAGGGCCAAAAAGAGCAGGGATCCAGGTGGAAAAGGGTCCCAGCGTTCTCGCGCACCTCGCTCTTCTAGGCGGTCCATCTTCACGAGTTGTTTTCCACAATGACGGTTATACAAAAAAAAAACAAGCCAGCAAGCGGATGTAGATTTGACCAATCAGAGGCCTCCTGTCTGCGGTCACCAATAATTTGGGAGAGGTGCAGCAGAGTGTCTGCGGAGGGGGCGGGGACTTTGCGCTCACTGCGGCACATTCGCAGACGACTTTGTTTCGAAGTATAAATCAGCCTTATGGTTTGTGGGTTTGCTGCCTCTTGGTCATACTGACAGAAAATCACAACTTAGGAAAAAGAAAAACACACGTCGTTAATCCCTATAAGGAATTTCTTCTATGAGAAGATTTATTTGACTGTAAACATTTGTTTTAAGACAGGATCAAATGTTTGATCTCATGCCAACCTGTGCCAAAGAGCTACAGCCATGCGCATGGGGCATCACTGTGTTGCCACAGCAACGACTGCTTTCCTTTCCTGTTGGAGGAAAGAAGCTCTCTCTTACCCTTGATTCTTACCCTTGATTCGAGCATGTAAATAAGATGATTTACCAATGGAATTAGTTTTCTTCATCTTAAAGTAAGATAAGTCAAAATAAATGCAAATTGTCTTGTTCCATATGCAAGTATCTCACTTACCTCCCCAGTTTAAGAAAAAATGCACTTATTTTAAGAAAAAAAGAATTATTTAGATGTAGATTTTTTC